AAAAATATCATTTGGCGGTCAAAAATGTTTATTGGACATATTTACATCAAATTATCAGATATTTTATAGAGATTTTAATAACGTGTACACATTTTGTGTAATTTTTTTTGGGTTCTGTACCAAGATTTTTAATTGCGGTTCCAGCAAGTTTCAGCAATTTGCCTTAAGGCACGATGCCATGCACCTCACTAGTTGAATTATTCCAATCGGTTGATCGGTGTTCCCGAAATCGTCTGCAAAAATTTGTATCCGCACACACACACATACACACATACACATATACACAAGCAATAAAAATATCAATTATGACATCGACGACAATGTTTCTTAATGTCTATAATATATGTCTGAAAAAAGGGGGTTTTCCAAGAAAATGGAAACAGCAAAGATTAGTGCTCCTTCCCAAAGGAAGAGAACCACCAGACTAGATGAACTATCATTCCGATATGCATGCTGGATACAGCGGGTAAAATTTTTGAAAAAATAGTTCACCAAATAATAGATGCAGTAGTTGACTCACCCATAGCAGACAATCAGTATGGTTTTTATAACGGGCGATCAACTATCGATGCTACAAACTTGGTAGTTAATACCGCGAAGAAAGTAATTGCTGGAATCAGATTGAAGAGAGGTGCAAAAAAGTACTGTCTTGTAGTTACATTTGATATAAAAATGCCTTGAATTCTGCAAACTGGAATTGCATTATGAATGCACTCCCTGACAAGAACTTGCCAGTATACTTCTGCAATAAAATCGCAAGCTACTTTATAGAGAGAATTCTAATGTACAATTTACGCGATGGTACAGAAGAATATAATATAACAGGAAGTATGCCGCAAGGCTTTGTTCTAGGCTCTTTGCTGTGGAATATTATGTATGATGGTCATTTGAGACTTGAGATTCCAGCATGTGTGAAACTAGTAGCATATGCAGACGGTGTAGCCATACTAGTTGTCTCCAAACAAATTGATGAGACCGTAAGTCTATTTGACATAACCTTTAGAAAAATTCATTGCTGGATGGGAACAGTGAACTTCCAATTAGCACAACAAAAAAATGAAGCTGTTCTTATCATGAATAGAAAAACAATAGATATCATCAAGCTAAAGATAGGAAATCTAGAGATTAGGTCAAAACCTAACAACTGCTACTTTGGCATAATACTTGATGCTCGATTGAATTTCAATCAACAGGTGGAACACGTTAGTGATAAGGCGTCAATAGTTAGGACGAGACATGCTCCACTGATGCCTAATGTTGGAGGCCCTAAACAAACCTAAAAGATATTACTATCATTATTTGTTACTTCGGTGCTTACATATGGTATCTCCATATGGGCTTATGCTCTCAAAACTCAAAAATCGAGGAGAATGGCAGGACCTATATATCGTCTGAGTGCTTTAGGAATTGCTTGCGCGTTTCGCACAATATCGGAGAAAGCAGTGTGCGTCATTTCAGTAACTATGGCACTCTTAGTCTTAGCAGAGGAAAGACGGATAATTTACTATCGAAGGCATCAACAACTGAGTCCTGAAAGGTTGAGAATAGAAGAACGGCAGAACTGCATTGATCGATTGCAGCAACTGCGGGCTGTCGCAGTGAAGAGCAGATGGACGCATCGTCTCTTTTCAAACATCAAAGTCTGTCCAAATCGTATGTATAGAGAAGTGAATTATTACACTACGCAAATGCTTTCTGGGCACGGCTGTTTTCGAGCCTACCTACATCGCTTCAAGCTCGCCGGATTGCCCATTTTGTTTCGGCGAAATCGAAAATGCTGAACACGTGTTCTTTGTGTGCCCGCGATTTAGTGCTCTACGGGACGATATAGAAGAGATATTGAGGCAAAGAATTACTCCAGGTACTGTTGTTGAAGTGATGCCGACAACTGAAGCTGCTTGGAACGCCATTGACAGAAGTAATGCCCAGCGGCAGTTTTCAAAATAAAACTATACAAAAAAAGTTCAAAATAAATTATACATATTAATATATTATCTTATATATAAAAATGGAGCTCTCGATCAAATGATTCAGTAAAACTCGAAAACGGCTAAACCGATTTGGCCAGTCTTAGACTTGAAAAATTTGTGCCAATCCAGAGAAGGTCCAAAAAGTGAGAAATTATTTCAAACCCGCGTAGAAACTTTACAATGAAATTCTGTAATCAATGCATCAAGAGCGGGGCTTGCTTACTTGCCGCTGTCAAACCTATTGGCACCTGGGATTTATGCTCCTACGACAAAAAGTACGCTTGTTTTGGCCCGAGAATGGATGCAAGTGTCTCCAATGATCTCTTATTGTGGAGACACAAAAATGTTGATCCAGATGAGCCTTGTGGTGATCCTCCTCAGGACGACTCAATTTTACTGGCACAGTAGCTATATGCCTTTTACCTTCCAAGTAGATGTAATTTTTTGGAAGTAACCGAAGGTATGTGCCACTTTTTGATATTTAAGGCCTGCCCGTGGGCCCTCGATTGCATTACTCGGATTGTAAATACACTTGTTATTGAACGATGTGCACTCTACGATGTCTGGCACAAGACTGATTCAAAAATATGAGTATAGTGTTGGATAACTAATGCAACTTCTGCAATATTTGGTAGAATTATAGTCGTACCAACTATGAGAAACTTAGTTGGTTAAAATTTAATTTGAAAATTTTTGGTGAACAGCACTTGATTTAAAATGGCTTCCCACACAATATCATGCAAATGACAGATGATTACTACTCATATGTCAAATGGTTTTGACAAGTTAAAACAGATTATGTTCTGAAATGATATAGGGTGTTGTATGAAATGATATAAGTTGTTGGTTAGTAGTTGCTCGGTTGATCTACACTGTCTCCAGGATACAGATTGTCCATTCCTTGGTCCACGCCGTTACTAGTAAGTTACAGATAGTAGAGCCAGTTGTAGCTTTCTTGGTCCAACCTTTCAATAGTGTGTAGAATCCTCTCAACTCCTGGCCTGGTGTCGTGGGCAGAGCAGTAAGTTGTAATATAATGTGATAAAAACTGGTAGTAATCTCCTCGGAACCGCGAGCACTTTATTCAGGTATAGGCTGAAAGAGTTCTCTACGCAAATATAATTGAAACACTGAATTTAGTTGACTGTCACTTTTATTTAAATCTTCAATTATACTTTTAACTCATCAACGGACATAAATTCGTGTTAAGACATACTCTAGACTCTCTCTTAAGACTCACTAAATTCGATGAACGATCACTATTCTATTTATTAGGTATAGGACGTGACACATGTGCACTTTGATTGTTCATAAAAACGGCACGAATTGCATTATTACACAATAGTGTATCAGTGTTAGATAGTGTTGTCATCCTTTAAATTTTAAAATTTAATTATTATTGAAAATATATATTTTTAAATGCTAATAAGAATGCTTATTTTTATTTTATATAAAGTTTTTATTTAATTCTCTAGTGACCAATTTATTTCACTGCGTTTTGTATTCATTTTTGACACATCCAATTTATTTCAAAAGCTGTGCTGTAAAAGTACTTATTGGTTTAATGCAAAAATTTGAAAATTTTGTATAAGCTCAGTAGTTTTATTTACAATTATACACAAAATCCTGAATCCAAAAAGAATCTGAAAAACTTGAAACGTAATCAATAAGTCGAAAGACCAAAAAAAACTTGGATGGATTATACTATGTTTTCTATAGAAAGTGTATAAATCTTCGTTTGATTGTATTGACAAAATATAAACAAACTAATGGGGTTTATTGTTTTTATAATACTTCATTATATATAGCATTCAAACAACACATCCTTATACACTTAAAGTATTAATATTTTTTATTCTATAGAAATTGTTTAGAATATACCTTACTTAGCAAAACAACGTTTGCCGGGTCAGCTAGTATATATATATATATATATATATAATTTTGTTTCTGGCGAAAAATGAATATATAGTCAAAAAAAAATTAGGGGAGAGCGGGGTTTAAAACTTTGCGGATAAAAGGTTCACTACCAAAATTTCAAAAACAAGTAAAGTGAGAAATATTTTAACAACAACATTAGAAAAAATAATTTTTGTTTAATTTTTAATTTCCGGTAGGGCAAGTTATAATAAACGCAAAAAAAACGGAAAATTTTTATATATCTTTACGTTTCAAACCTTCTGAACATTTTGGCATACCTTAGAAAAAATGGATGTATGTGTGTGTGCGTGCGGATACAAATTTTCGTCGACGATTTCGGGAATACGGATGAAGTAATTTGAATAATTCAAAAAACGGTGCCAAAAACGGTAACTCAGTTTTTAAGAGAACGGAGCGTCCGCTTTGACATTTCGTCTCTATGCAGTTAAAGCAGTACGATTGCTTTGAAAAAAAAGTACAGAATTTCCAAAAATGTCAAAATAAAGGAAATATCTTTTTTTTTAAAAAGTAATTTTTTGTCAAATTTATAATTTCTCAAAAATCTAATTTTTTGGTACTGGAAGTTCCAGCAATTTGCCTTAATGCACGATGCCATGCGCCCCACTAGTTAAATTTTTAATTCAACCTTCAAATATAGGTAAGGTAAAAGTAAAAGTAAAAATAGCACTAGAATAAAGGTAAAGGTAGATCTAGAATAAAGGTAAAGGTAAAGCTGGAGTAAAGGTAAAGATAGCGCTAGAGTAAAGGTAACTGTAATATGTTTCCAATTGAAAATTAGCCCATCTCGGGCACTGCGATGTGAAATAGAGATGGGTAAATAATCACGCTATTTCTTTCTAAAGGTAAAGGTAGAGCTAGAATAAAGGTAAAGGTAGAGCTAGAGTATTTTAGACATTTCTAAAATGTAAAGCTATATATATATATATATATATATATATATATATATAATGTTATGTGTTAGATGTCCTACAAATAATTCTCTCCCAGCATTAAAAGTTTATAGTCAAAATTGACTGAAACAATTATTTCTATTTTAAAAAAAGCTTGCAATAAATAGCAGTAGGTTTTTGATATTAAATTATTTTTTAGAGATATTCTACAGCGTGGTGGTTCGGCGGTGGATGCTGCGATCGCTTCCTTATTTTGCAATGGAATCGTTAACCAACAATCCATGGGCCTTGGTGGAGGATTCATGATGACGGTAAGTGGAAGTAATAACTCGCAAGTGTTATTAGTAATTAAATAAACTTAATTTGTTGAAAATCGAAAAATCTCATATTGGTGACAAAAATGAGTAAAACCAAATTATATTGGTTTAGTAGGCTTTATTCATTTATATGGCTATATTATAAAAAAGGTTGTAATAAGGGATTGCAAGAATAAGCAGATCTTATATTTATCCTTTTCCTAATAGCGTAGAGAGGGATTTACATGTTCGGGGGTAATAAATCTTCCATCGATATCTCAGAAATCAGTAATGTTAAGAATTTTTTAACAACAATATTTGAAAGTAGAGGAAAAAGATGTCATAACAAAATTATTTTCTTTTGTTGTTTTTTTGTGAGGACTATAGTTTAGTTTACAAGGCAAATTGCTGGAACTTTCCGTACCACAATTAAATATTTGAGCAAAAAAATAGTTATCAATAAATTCTGATCAATGATTAATAACAATTGTTTTAAATGTTTTTAAAAATATAATTATAATTACTATATATTTATTCGTTCATATAATATACAGTGACGATGACGATCTTATCACTCAAAACTCAAAATTAAGAAGGAATGCTTAAAGAATCCATCTGAGGATGTATTTCTTACGAGTAGAATAATGCGTATGAAGATTTGTTTGAACTGTAAAGTGAACTCTAAAGATCTTGGTACGGAACCCAAGAAATTGTAATAAAATTTGTTCTTATTATTAAAATATCTATAAAATATCTGCTAACTTATTGTGAATATGTATAATGATCATTTTAGTCCGCCAAATATAAATTTTTTACTTTTTGTTCTCTATTTTTAATCATTCAAATCGGGCGCTCCGTTACCACAAAAACTGTATTACTAGTTTTGGCACTTTTTGTCCCGTATCCTCGAAACGGCTGAAATATCGTCACCAAAAGCTAATTAGCACGACTTCTCATCAGTAGGAATCTAATGTTGTTTGAATTATCTAAATCGGTTGATCCATTCGCCCGAACACACACACCCACACATACACACATACATCCACTTTTTCTAAGGTATGCCAAAACAAAAACCTTGCAAATGTGAAGATATGCAAAAAATTTTATTTTCAATTTGTTTGCGATTACTATAACTTACCCTACGGAAAGTAAATATACATTATCGAATTGTTTTGTAAGATGTATTGTTATTTTTGAGTTAGATTTAACCGCTTTTTTATATAACCTCTATAAAAGATTACACGTGAATGGGGTAAAAAAACAACAACTGAAAATGGGTGTAAAAATAAAAAAATATCGAATAAAAATGTAAATTAAGGTAAATAAAGCAATTTGCAATTTTTAGATAAATCAAATAAATTGTCATTTCAAATCTGCGGATGAATATTTCTGACAAAATACCAGATCAAGTTTTTTAATATTGATATCTCTGTAAACAATGAATTTATGAAATATATATTTTGCATTGGTTGAATTATGTAACTATTGTTTTATAAAATCCCCTTAAAATTAAGATAAGACATTGGACCTGTTTGGCCGCTGGCCGTCCCCGCTTACACATTTCTAAAAAATACATTTCTTCAATGATGATGTAGCTGGGAGTTTTACTGAACATAGTCAGATAATTATTCTTTTGATATGTATTATTTGTTGTAATATAATTGGTTTGGTTTTTACAATATAAGTCAAATTGGATCTTTGTGCCCCGCTCTACCTCGTCCTTTTTAACTTCCCGTAGGATAAGTTATAGTAATGGACCGAAAATCAAAAATAAAAATGTTTGCATATATTCAAGTTTTGAAGGTTTCTGAACATTTTGGCATACCTCAGAAAAAATCGTTGTTTTTTTGTATAGCGAAGAAAATTCTTTTATGCATCCCAGACTGTTATTTTGTCTGGGTATGTAGGACCCAAAACCGCCCTGGTTTGATACCGACTAAAACCTCTGCTCTGCCCTTGCCTGGGGTCCCTACGGAAACCGCCGTTAGGCATTACTTCGTCGAGGATCTAGAATGTTATAATTCTTAACTTTATATCATACTCATGTTTTAAATGGGCGTTATCCCATTCGCCCTTTCTGTTTCCATAGAACGCAGGTCAATTAGCACATCTCACGCAAATCTGTCTATAGCGTTCCAAGCAGCCTCAGTTGTCAGCTTCACTTCAACAACAGTATCTGAAGTAATTCTTCGCCTCAATATCTCTTCTACATCGTCACGTAGAGCTACATTCACTGCTACATTCCACAGTTGCTGCAATCGCTCAGTGCTGTTCTGCCGTTCTTCTATTCTAAACTTTTCAGGACTCATTTGTTTTAGAAAAAATGGATGTGTGTGTGCGTGTGTTTTGTATGTCCGCATTTTTTCAGCAACCGATTTGAATGGTTCAAAAAACATTTGATTCCTATTGATAGGGAGATGTGCATATTAGTTTTTGGCAAAGGCAGGTCCAGTCATTACGGAGATATCGAGCAAGGAGTGCAGAAAATAGAAATCGAGTTCATGAGAGAACGAAGTATCCGATTGGAATGATCTAAAAAACATTCAATTCGTGATGACAAGGAGAAGTGGTGATTAGTTGTTGGCAAAAGCAGGTCCAGTCGTTTCGGAGATACGAGCAAAATGTTCAAAAAACAACATTTTTTGAGAGAACTAAGCATCCGATTTAAATGATTCAAAAAACTTTCTGCTTATGTTGACAAAACGATTGCTTTTAGGAAAAGATTTTTTTTTTTAATTTTCAAAAAATATTTTGTTTGAATATCGAAAAGCCGCTTATATACCTCAAATAAATAATTTTAACTTTGCTATTCAGTTCATAACTTTTTCATAAATATTAGACAATGTCCTTCATTTTAAATTCGATTGATTGAGTTTTGTTTATTTTTTTTCTGTTGCGTGACGTGATGAGTAACAGTAAGGAAAAACAATGTGCTTTAATTTGATACAGTTTATTTTTCGTATCCTGCAAACATTTCAATAATATTAAATAAGTATATAATCTATAGGTCTACACCAGAGCCACCAGGACAGCAGTAACACTGAACGCCCGAGAAATGGCTCCAGCCGCAGCCCATAGAGACATGTACGAAGGAGAGTCGAAGAAAGGTCAAGCTCACAAAGGTAGAGGTAAACGTTCTCCTTGCTTACCTTAAATCATCTTCCAATCCGATGCAATTCCTTTATCACAGCCAATTATCATTTCTTCCTTATTCTTTATGATATAATAAAGTACTATAGGATCAAGTTATAGTAATTATCGTATTTTTTTTTTAAAAAAAAATCCAATATATCTTTAAGTTTCCAAGGTTTTTCAACATTTTGCAATACCTCAGAAAAAATGATGTATGCGTGTATGAATACAATTTTTTGTAAACGTTTCCAGAAGCACAAATCAACCGATTTGAATGGTTAAAAAAACATTCGATTTGTATCGAAAAATAAAACGTGCTGATTAGTTTTTGACAAAGGCAGGTTCATCAGTTTATAAGGTACCCAGTAAACACCGTGTGATGTGAGCGTCGGCAGCAATCTGAAATCCACAAACATTCCTTCAGCGCTGTTTGCTACCGCCGCCCGGTGTTTACTTGGTAAGGGCATAAAGGGCCAAAAATTGCAAATCAGATCGCTGCGCCTGATTTGAATGCTTCAAACGACATTCTACTTGTATTAAAATTGCGATGTAAATCTCTCCTCCATCAGAATTACCCAGCGTGCATTTTGTTATTGGTCGCTTTCAGTTTGCTTACTTGCTAGGTATGGTGTTATTAATAGTTTTATGCGTTGAGTAAAATTTAAATCTATATTATTTTTATAGCTAATTTTATATTAATTTTCCGGTAAGATATACCTTATTATTAGTAAAGTTGGATTCTTTGTTTCAAACAAACGAATTTGGGCGCACAGATCAACTTATTTGAATAATCAAAAAAAAAAATAGATTCCTACTGATGGGATGATGTGCTAAATTTTGGTAAAGACAGGTCCATCCATTTCGAAGATAGAAATGAAAGTGTGTAAGAGAACTAAGCATCCCCTCTGAATGTTCAAAAAAACTTTTTGCTTATATTGACGAAATGATTATTCCTGGGAAAAGCAACATTTTTTTGATTCAGGTTTTACATGATCAAAAACAATTTTTTTTGAATATCGAAAATAAATCGAAATACGAATGAAAGCATAATTTACGCCTTTCTTCCTTGTTTATTGATTTGTTTAATTTTGCATTCTTTTGTATTCTTGTATATTTGTTAGTTAAATTTGAATTCATTTATATCGAGTTTATTCCTCAGTAGACTTCTATTTTTCTCTCGAGGCGATATTTAGTTTGAACACCAGTAGGGTTTTTGTCAAGCCTAAATTGTTTTTTATTGTCACTAGAGTTTTCTCTTTCATTTCATTAAATTGAATTCGCTTGTTAATAGTGTATTATTGTTTTTAATCAAGTTGAAATTTTGTTTGATGCCGTCGTGCACAAGATATTTTTTTCTCGATATAAGTCTGATCTAGTTCGTTTTCACAATAACAGGCAGTGGATCTTTCTTTTCCTTTTTATATATCGCACTATATACTTAGGATTGATAAGTAAGAATGTGATAGTTCATCAACGTAAATCTAACATTTTACAAAGACTATTCCTTTGAACTTTCCAATATAGGCCCGCTATCAATAGCTGTCCCTGGTGAGCTGGCTGGGTATTGGGAAGCTCACAAACGTTTCGGCGTTTTACCATGGGAGGAAATTGTGAGACCGGTGTTGAAATTGTGCGATACTGGATACAACATGTCTAGGGCTCAATGGAGCGCACTGGATGCCAACCATGGAGTAAAAGATGATGAAACAATAAGGTCAGTCAAGTTATAGGAAATTTACTTCTACTTTTGGTATTCCTTTTTATTTCAAGGATTTTTATGATTATGTAATAATCATTATATTTTTATAGAGCACGTATCGCAAGATTTCTGTCTCAAAAAGTCCAACTCATCCAATGACATGTTTTTTGTTTGTTATATAAAATGATGAGAGCAATGCGCAGCTTTTCTTATTTTATTATATATATATATATATATATATATATATATATATGATATTTTTGTCGACGTTGATACATATTTGTAATATTTTTGCAACCCGATTATGATTATGGATTACTGATTGATGACACACATCAAGTGTCGAAACGTTTAATGGAATAAATAATTTTGTTATTTAATCTTTTTTTAATTCGACGGTTGGGCTGCCAAAATATTACAATATATATATATATATATATATATACATATATACCCCAGTAGAAATATATCTGAGCTGGAAGTGTTTTTAATACAAGCTAAATATGTAAACGCGTAGCCAATGTTAGAAATGTTTAGCCAGCGTTCACAATGTGCGATTAATATGAGCTGTATATGAGACGACAAATATTAGATTTACATGAATTTTCCATATTGGTAAATGTGCGATAATTATGAGTTCTATATGAGTCGCTGATTATATATTTTACATATGATTTTTCCATATTGCTGAATGTGGGCTATATATGACATGCTGAATATGAGTTTTAAATGGTTTATTCATATTGCTCAATATAAGCTGTGTACTAATATTGTAGGATTTGAAATATAGAATTATTCACATACAAATCATTTAAGATTTCGTTAATAAAAAACGAATGTGGAATACGTTTTTTCTTGTATTGCTCAATCGGGAAGGAAAATATGGTTTATCATTTTGTAGAATCGGTATGGAATAAATAAATATACTTTTTTGTAAAATCTGCTTTCCGAAATTATTAATCATATAATATAATATATCTATTTGTGTTTTATATCGTTCCATGAAACTTTCATGCATAGACATATCACATGCATAGACATATTATCATAATAATATTATATATCTTCATAAAGTTATGTTCAAATATAATATTATAAAATATGTTTTGCCATTGATAAAATTTAAAATAGTAACAATATAATTCAAATATTATTACTACAAATATTAAATACAATATTAGCCGCAGTTATATTTAAATTATTATTATCGAAAATATATAAAAATAAATTTGCGCTTGACAAAATATTGTGGATTCAATCGACAAAATATTGTCGATTATTCTCAGCCCGTATCCTTTTTATCAATGTGTGCGTGGCACATAAAGGGATGCTAGCTAGCCGACAAGATGCGAACCTCTTGTGCAGAAATGCGGCTCTCTCTTTCTGCCCAGCTGCGTTCAGTTATGGCCAAATACAGCAGTTATGTTTGGTAAATAAATCGGTAACGATTTATTAACCAAAATTAATAAGTTTATTAATTTTTAAACTATTACACTTCGTAAAATATTCGGCAGAGATTGTGACCTGATTTTTGACTCACTAGCCTAGCATAAAAACTTCGCCGTTTATTATGTATATATATATATATATATATATATATATAAATATATATTTATTTATATATATACTAGCTGACCCGGCAAACGTTGTTTTGCTAAGTAAGTTCTTTTATAAACAATTTCTAGAGTATCTAAAAAATTAATACTTTTTGTGTAAGGATGTGTTGTTTGAATTGCTATATACAATGAGGTATTATAGAAATAATAAACCCCATTAGTTTGTATATATTTTATTAATACAACCAAACTGAAAGTTTTATACACTTTCTATAGAAAACATGGCATAATTCAATCCAAGTCTTTGTTGGTCTTTCGACTTATATAGTCATTACAAATTCCATTTAATCGATTATTGAATGCGTTTCAAATTTTTTGAAATTTTTTTTGAATTCTGTTTTTGTGTATAATTGTAAATAATACTATTGAGCTTATACAATTTTTCAAATTTCTGCGAGGAGAGATACAAAATGATTTAGGTATCTCTTCTTTGACCTGCTTTTTGAAAAGTTTCTAGTAATATTCGATGAATAAAAGTAAATTTAATAAAAAGTATATATGTAGAACAGGGCAAGGCACAAAGGTCCAATTTGACTTTAAGCAAATATAAATTTTATTATGAAAATCAAACCAATTACATCACAACAAATGACACATTTCAAATGAACAATTATCTGACTACATTCAGTAAAACTACCAGCTACTTCATCATTGTAAAAATGTGCTTTTTTGCTGTCCTTCAAAAATTTGTTATCTAGACATTTTTACCCCATAGACGGGGTAAGTTGGAATGGCCAGGTGGCAAGCAGGTCTAATGTCATATTTTAATTTCAAAGGTATTTTACAAAATAATTACATTTTCAACTAATTGCTAGAAAACTACCAATGGAAGAAAATACTTTTACTATGGATCTTCAAAGATTACCATTTATCTCCCAATACCAAAGTCATAAGAGTCAAGGTTATAGCTGATTATACATATTTTTCCCTTTACATTCAAATACTGTTGTTAAACAATGCTTAGCTTTACTGGTTTTTGACACTTCGGTCGTGGATCTTCATATATTACTATCCATTCTTGAATAAATTCAGGAAATTATAACTGGAAATAAGCTATTCGACAAAATGTTCCTTTGATCGATTCCAAATTTAGGTTCTAAATCTGAATAATCTAGAAAAGGTTTTATAAATACCAATGAGTACATAATTATACAAATGAGTTTTTTCAGAGCATTGTGTTTGAGAAAAATATGATTTGTCAACCTTACTGACTTTTATAGTTCGCTTCACTGTTTATACGAATGGGCAATGGCGCTATCATTATATTATAATTGTTAATTATTTATTTAAAATAAATAATTTTATTATTAATTCCTTACAAATATTGAATTGTCATCCATACGTGATTACATAGCTGTCATTTGCTTATTGTTATTCCAAGTCGAACGGGATAAAAGGTATCCTATGTCCTTCTCCTGGCTCTGGACCAACTTTTACCAACTTTACCAAAGCCAATTTTCAGTTAAATCCGTTCAGCCTTTTTGAGTTATAAGTTCTGACGATATATCTCCAGAATGCACAAACCGAGTTCGACAATTTTGCATTTGCTGGAAAGGTCTGGGGCTCCGTGAGGTTTATAGCTGGGTTATAATATATGAGAACCAAAAACTTATATTCTATCACTATAGTTAACTTAAGGTAGTCGATTACTTCAATTAGACCTTTTTATTGTTGAATCAAAGCACATTTGCTGATAATTTATATATGCAAATTAGTTGTAAACACCTGAAACATTTTATAAGATATGTATAAAGATATTACAAATTAACAACAATTAATGTATAACTATTTACATTTTTATTACAAATTTTGAGGTTATGTCAAGAAACTATATTTCAGAATATTTTTTTTTATTGATTTGTTGATGATTATGCTTATTGCTGATATATAATATAAACACCTCAAATACTCTATTTAAATACGTATAAACAAATATACATAAATACCTAATTATATAAATAATTACATTCCCATTTTCAAGAAATAAATTTCCCCATCGTTCATCTAGCATCGCTTGCTATTATTAAGAATTAATTTATTTGCCACTTTGTATTAATTTTCCGTGGCGATTAAAATATTTATATTATTCACGTAATAATTTTCAAATAATGGTCATTAAGAAATGCATATTAATATATTTGTATCAAAACAGACACACCGAATGACAGTTGACAATCGAATGTAAATGTCATGGATGAAATCATTGATAGTATCATAGATTGAATAAACTACATGGATAGTTTAAAAATAATTAATTTTGAATTAGAATGAAATAAAGGGATAAAAAGTATCCTAAGTCCTTCTCCTGGCTCTAAACTACCTCCCTGCCAATTTTCATCTAAATCGGTTCAGCCGTTCGTGAGTTATAAGTGTTAGCACATAAAGCGATCCTCTTTTATATATATATATATATATATATATATATATATAATTTTTTATATGTATAATTATATATATATATATATATATATATATATATATATATATAATTTTTTATATGTATAATTATTATATATATATATATATATATATACTAGCAAACCCGGCGAACTCCGTTTCGCCACCGTTTGTTTTATATTTGAAAAGGAAAAATTTGATCAGGAAGGAAAACCCGACTTATTTTTATATATATATATAGAAGATAATCTATTTGCAATTATTTAAAACAATTATTGATTATTTTTATTACTCGAATTTTTAATTACGGTGCGTGAAGTTCCAGCAATTTGCATTAGGGTACGATGCCATGCACCACTAATTTTCTTGGCTATAAACCTTGCGGAGCCCGAGACCTTTGCAACGAATGCAAAATTGTCGAAATCGGTTCGTGCGTTCTGGAGTTATTTCGTCAGGAAGGAAAACCCGACTTATTTTTATATATATAGAAGATATATATATATATATATTAGGGTGGTCCTTAGAATGGTCATTTTCGAATTTCCTTGCTCCCAGGGGCTCAAATGGTTCCAAATTGATAAAAAACAATTCTCTGAAAGTTGTAGCTCTTAATATTAACGTTTAGATAGAGCGCAATTCAATCAAAGTTTTGTATGGAAATAGCATGGAAAAATTTTAAAAATGTTTTTTAGATGTAATTTAGCGAACAAATGAATGAATAAAACTCATTCATTTGTTGCTAAGTTATACCTAAAACATTTTTTTTAACTTTCAAAATTTTTTCCATGCTCTTTCCATAAAAACTTTCACAGAATTGTTTTTTTATCTATTTGGAACCATTTGAGCCCCTGGGAGCAAGGAAATTCGAAAATGACCATTTTAAGGACCACCCTAATACATATATATATATATATATATATATATATATATATCATTAATAATTTATAGATTACGTTTTTAAAGGAACGTGAAAACAGGCTAACTATCATTAAAGACGCTGGA